CGGGGCTTCAACGGGCGGCGGACTCGGCGCCGCGCGTAACCCGACGTCTGAGATCACAGCGCGTGATTGGTCCGGACCGGCGTAGGGGCGGGCCCTGCTCGTCCCCGAGGTGGGACTCAGGCCGAAGCAAGTAGGCGAGGCCGGGTTCTCGGTCTGCAGGTGGACTTGATCAGGTGAACCCGGTCTTCGCAGACCAGAATGCGAGCTGGGGGACCTCGCGCTCCAGAGCTCAGGAGGGCAGTAGCAAGGACGGCTGTGACTAAATTCTTCTTCCCTCAAGGTAAATCCCTTATATTCTGGGGAATTTATTAAAAATATGCTTGGATTATTCCACTCTCAGAGGTTCCAATTTGACACTTCAGGACTGGGCCCCAATAATCTGCAGCTGGATTATTCTGAGCAGGTGGTTGAGGAAAACAAGACAGCACAGGTGTCTTCCTTCCAAACTAGACATTTGACACCCTTCTACTTCCCTGGCACAGAGAATTTGAGTCATTAAGCAAAATCCTAAATCTATTTTTTCTTTTTTGAGATGGGATGTTGCTGTGTTTTTTCCAGACTAAACTCAAACTCAGCTCAAGCAATCCTCCTGCCTCGGCCTCTACAGTAGCCGAGACTTCAAATGGGTGACCATGCCTGGCTCCCCCCAAACAATTTTAGTGGTGACTTGAATGCAGTACACTTTCATTTAGAAATATACTGGATTTAGACTGAAAAGTCAGTGTACACAGGTCCTCACTTTGTTCACTTAGGGGATACAACTTCATGTTGAATGTGACTGATAAAAGGTAAATGACTGGGATTTGGAGTCTCAGCATCCCCTGCAACACAGTAACATGTTCACGACAGAGGCCTAGGGGCTGGAGGACTCTGAACCACCTGCTGGTATATACATGACTGTCCCATTGGGCAGCATGGGGCAGTCCCCTCAGGCAGTTAAAGCTGACAGAACATGTTAACTCCCACCTGACACATTGGAACCTGTTTTCTGCCTCTATCAGGGATGCTAGTCCCCTCTGGCTTCTGTCTAGATGCCTCTTGGTGCTCTAGAGCCCCTGCCCCTCCTGCTGTACATCAGTGTACGCACAGCACCAGTCTGGCTACATTTGTTGTACAGTAAATACTACATCTAGGGAAAATTTTCCCTATAAAATAGCTTCAAGAAATTCCAATTTACAGAAGAGGATTAAATACTATCCAAAAAGTTTTTCAGTTGAATAACCGGATTAGCCAGAAAACAAAAATGCAATTCTCCAGCCTTTATTTTACAATACACTTTCACCTGTGTGTCTTCACACAGCTTTGTGGCTTTTCCCTGCTTTGCCAACTGCTGCTTATCCTTCAAGGCCCACCTGACCTCCTCTTCCTCCCTGTGCTTCCTCATGTCCTTGGGTGTGCTGTTCTACTATAATTTTCCAAACAGCTAAATTACACATCTATAAACATACCTCTCTCCTACTGCTGTGTGTGAGCCTTCTGAACACAGGAACTGGTTTTTATTCACTTATGAAGCCAACACAATGTCTGGCACAGATAACATGCAACAAAAATACTTTTTAAATTAAGTTGAAGTTTAATTTATAAATTTTAAAACTCTGCACAAATATTGACCACGGGCAAATACAGAAAATCAGTTTAAGAAAATAAATGGATAAAAGAAGATTAAAATATTGATTACTGCCTTCAAGACTAAGAGATCTTATGAGGATGCGCAATGATTAACAGTACTTGTTCAAAGAAGAACCAAACCAGAGGACATATCTTAAAGCAGAGGAGACTGTCAGTGGGAAAAAGGAGATTCTGAGTAGCTTGAAGACATACATAGCTCAAGGAAAACTGTACCGTGGGCTGAAAAATGAAGTTTCGGACAAGGCCCTGTCTGCACATCCAGATGTGGAGGAACCCTTAAGGCTCATAGGGAACAAGAATCATCTTTAGAATTCAAGGGCAGAATCTCCAGTGTCAGGAGCAAGGTCACTGTGAAGTCTGCTTTTCCTACTTTTCCTCAGCTGAAATGAAAAAATATCTAAATCCAGAAGGGAAAGGATGAAAGAGAAGGGGGAAAGAATTCTGTAATTTTATTAAAATCGAAAGGAGGAGCCCAGGATTTAGCTCAAAGGCACCATGCCTGCCTTGCAAGCACAAGGTCCTGAGTTTGATCCCAGGTACCAAAAAAAAAGGAGAAAGGAATTTCTTTATCCATTTAGAAATGATTCTCTGAGGCCCCCCTGGAGTTTTGAAGAATATATTCTGGCAAAAATGCCCTCTTACTGTCAAATCTGCAAAATGAAGTTAAAGTTTCTCTTAAATGTCATAAAACACCACAAGTTTATACAAAGGTATTTATGAAAAATAAAGCAAACACAGAATATTAATCCAAAATAGTTTTAGCGTGTTTTGTTTTAATTCTGATGTTATACCATCAAATAGTGGGATCTATTTTAATAGGTATTCTTGTGCATATTTCTGCTTAAATGTACCTTTATCTTCAATGCATAACTTTGAAATTAAGAGAAAAAAACAGCAAGCAGGAAAGATACAATGTAATAAGCATTTCATTTGATTCCAAACAAGCGCTTTAAAAAAAAAGGCAAAATACATTAAACAAAGTGCATCAGTTCCAACAAGTTACTATTAGAAAGAGTCCTAAGGAAAGTGCTGGAACCAGCCAGGAGTCCTTCCTCTGATTGTCTTTAGAGAATATTTAACCAAAAAAGGAAGGGAAAGGAAAAGAAATGAGCACTTAAAATCTCAAAAGAAACAAACTACCTTCCCCAGAGATCAGTGCAAAAGGAGTTAAGAACTATCCAGCTTTAACTTTGCCTAAGCTTTATGACCTCCCCAGGTCATCTGCTTTGTGACTTGATTTTCCCCAAAAGCCTACTCTACTCTCTCTAGTCTTCCAGTACTTTTTGCCTGACTCCATTCTGCCAAGCTAGGCCTGTGGTTAGACTGAACAAACCATGTAAAGAAATCCTTATACCTGGAGTTTCCACATATCCCGTGAACAGGCCACGCCAATCTCCATCTGCAGTGATGGCACTATTTCACTAGTCATCATCCTTTGCCTCCTAGGGCTCAGGTCTGTACTTTATTGCTGGCACTGAAACATGCCCAGCAAGGCTGTGGCTTACATGTTTCCCTTTCCCAACAATCCTCTGCGGGCTATAGCACCAGGATAGATCAGTAAGCAAAGCATAAGGAGAGAGTTTTAGGCCTATGTCTCTGTATCCTCAACTCTCCACTCTTGGTTTTGCTGAATCCTGTGACCATCTGACTTCTTAAACACCATATTCAAGAAAATAAACTTGCACTGCATTTAATGACCACTACCTTCTACACCTCACCTCTAAAAAGCTGCCCCTAGAAACAAGGCCACCAGTATAGTCTTAGACAAGAACTGAGGAAACCATCTCAAGTAAGTGAGCTTGAAACAAGAGCAATTTGGACTGAGCTTTGAATTTAAAACTTTTACACCAAAATGCCAAGTCCACAGGTAGGTTGTTGAGATAAATTAAATTTCCAAAGTATGTACATTCTCATACACAGGAATTATAAAGATTTACTAGTGAAAATTTTACAGTGAAGAAAGTCAAGGAAGAATTATGACACAAAAGTGACATGTCTTTTTGGTTTTGTATGAGTCTTTCTGTTGAACAGCTTCTGAGCCAGTAGCACAGCTGTGACACATGGTTACTTACAGTAGACCTAGGACCAAAGACATTCTAATTTAAAAAGGGAGTACCTGGTCTGCACCAAGACTTATACTTCATATCTGTTAGTGATGCCTCCTTCCTTATAAAGCCAATGTATTTCCTATGCTAACACAAAACATTTAAAATTGTATGCATGCATACACAGACAGAACATCCCCAATACAGGGGCCCAGAGTTCAAATCCAAGGTGTGTCTCCACTGTTGAGGCTAACAATTCTTTCAGAGCTTTTACGGGAATAAATCCAAGCATCAAAGGGTGTCTTAAATAAGTCTTTGATGACAGGTGCCAAGTAAAAATGTAAGTGCTAGTGACAGTTTTCTCAATGTCCCCATCTAGATTACCTGAAGTTCTGTGTCCCTTGAAAAGTTACTGGCTTGAAAGACAGGAATAGTTCTAAATACTACCCTACCTAAGGCCTCCTAGAGCTTTTAAATTATATTCAGGTTTCACATTAGTGACTGAATTCATACTAAAGAACAGGCAAAATGTATTCAAGTCCTCAGGAAACTTTGGTCCAATGCCCTTTCTCTCACAGTGAGAATAATTTTACTTCTAGGAGAGAAGACATACAAAGGCCAAATTCTGAACTTGTTTTCTATGTGTTCCTATATTATAATTCAATATTTATATTATAAATATTTACCAATATTATCATTTCCAGTGTTTGGTAATTATCCTCCCTTGACCTTAGGGTCTATTTTGTAGATACCAGGAGCCATCTATGTTGCTAAAGAAAAGCTAAAAAGATGGAGTGAAAAGCATGCGTTCCCTGCATTAGCCACTTCAAATAAGAAGGATGAAGATATTCACAAAGGAAAATATCATATTCCCCAGAAGCCCATAAACTATAGTAAAAATCCCAGAGCAAATCTGCATGTGCAGTAAAAGGTCTCCCTTGTACACTAACATAGTGGTAAAAGTCTATTAGCTGTCTAACTTTTCAAGTTTAGGAGGATGATATAGTCCATTAACCTGTTTATAAGAGTTAATCCAGATCATGAAAAACCTTCTGATCTCAGGCAGCTGTGAGGCCAACTACAGGTTAAATCCAGATAAATACAGCAGATCCTCACAATGTACCTCTCATGAATTTGAAAGCTGGTCTCTAAATAAAATTCATTTATATATATATGCAACATCTAAGTATTTCGCTCCAACACAGTAAGCTATTATCAGGTTTAAAGTCTGTTACACTATCGCACTAAATGGATGGACTGTCACTGCTCCTAGTCCCACCAGCTCTATGCGGTAAATGGAACTGAAAATCTGTACTTAAAAAAAAAAAATGACTCGTATCAAATTCCCAATTATCCTCTAGTATACAATATCTAGGAGAAAGGTCTGGGAGAATATAGTTTTTCTTTAATACAATTGTCCAATAAACTGTATCCCAGTAGATGAATGGAAGAAAAATTAAGGAAAACCCCACTAAAACGTCCAATTTAAAGTCAGCATTTCTCTAGAAGGAAACAGCTTGAATAATCATAGAGACAGACTAACCTGCTATGCTCCAACCCCACCCAGATTAGAGACTATGTATTTCCACTATCAGTGGCTCCAGCCCCTTATCTGTGAAGGGAGAAGGTGCTAAATGCTGATTTTTAAAGAAGTCAAGAAGAAAGACAAAAGTAACATTCATCTCTGTTATATTTGGTAAAAATTCCCTCTTATGTTTCATTTTCCTGAACAAGGTAGCAATGTGAGATCCTAAACATTAATTCCATAAGTTTTGTGTTTCACTGCTCTTCAAGGGACTTTCTTGTGCCTCAGTGCCTTGATTACTAAGCTCTAGGAAACATTATTAAACAAGACATCACTATCTCAGGTCCATCTGCTTGATGCTAACTCTTCCCTAGCATCATAATATATGTTTTTCTTCCACAGATATAAAATTAATGAAATTTTAAAAATTGGATCTGAGTATGTTCAAATATGCTTTTACTCACATGAAGTTTCTTTACAAATATATCTGGTAGTAACCTAAGCAGGGTTAATGCTTTATGATTTGGCTGGAGGGCTTGAGTTAGAGTGGTTTATGAATTATCCAATGAAGAAAGGATCCAGACTATAGATTATTTGCCGATGTCCATAAAAACAATTGGGGTTTGAGGAAAGAAAAGAAAAAGAATCACAATCAGTTTAAATTTTGAAGTAGTATTACCTTGTATTTGTGTAGTTGTTTGAAATTTACCCACTTTGCCGTTTTATAAGATTTTCAGTTCTTGAGAAGAAATGATTAGGTTATAAATTTGCAGGTGACTAGGATAATGCAAAGATAAATAAATAAATAAACAACAAAGCAAACCATATAAAGGACACAATCTGTGTATGTCTTTCCTCATTCTTGTCTAGAACAGAAACAAGTGCTATTATTTTCTAATAGCTGGCAATAAAATCCTACATTAAAATTTGCCTGAAGTTTCATGTCAACTTGAGCTAAGTTAACAGAAACACCAAAAAGGACACTGAGTTATCAAGTGAGACCTCAGTACATAGATTACATTCAATTTAAAGGTCAACCAAAGAAATGCATAAAGGTAGCTAGCTGAAGGGGTTTCTAGACTCCTTAACCAATTCTCAATCTTTATCCTGCTACTGAGGAAACTGCTGCAGAAACTCCATGCTGTGTTACCCTAAAAACCACTTATTCTTTGCAGCTCATCCAGGAGAAATGGGCTTTCTTTTCTTTTCTTTTTTTTTTTTTTTTTTAAGGCAGGGTCTGGCTATGTAGCCCAGGCTGGTTTTGAATTTATGACAATCCTCCTGCCTCAGCCTTGTGTGCTGTGGGTTTTTTTTTTTTTTTTTTTTTTTTTTTTTTTTTTAAGGCAGGGTCTGGCTATGTAGCCCAGGCTGGTTTTGAATTTATGACAATCCTCCTGCCTCAGCCTTGTGTGCTGGGGTTACAGAGAAATGGCCTTTCTTTACATTGGGTCATAGGAATACCTGATTTTCACCAGAAGTAAGGAGTTCAAAAATGAAAGAGAGGTAGACAAACAATTCTAGAGAAAAAGTAAATACAAAACAAAAGCTACCTGAATACTCTAAGAACGAATAGGGACAGAGTAATCAAACTGAAATATTAACAATCTTCATGAGGTTATTTAACCCTACATCTGGGTCAAGATGGAGAACAGTGATGGCAGAGTTCCTAGGTCAAGTCTGTTGAGGAACTGGTTTAAGTGCCTGTTAGATTTTCCTGTGCCCACGTAATGTTCTTATGATAGCAAACAGTGTTTTTCTCCCCCCACAACTTCTGTCATAGTTTTAGTGTTCACTAGCTTTAAAATGGTGTCATACCAAAAAACCTCATTCATGGCCGTAAGCTCAATAATCAACAGAGGTAGTAAACAAAGAAACTTTTAAGAACAAATTTTAAAATAGATCAAAGTATGACTATACATTCAAAACCTTGGAGCCACATAATTATCCCCAAAATGAACTGTTTTAATTTTTTGAAGCTTAAAAACACAATGACAACAAAGCACTGATGTACCTTAGGCATAGTCACAATCAGTGCTGACTTAAAGCTATGTCCTCTCTTTCAAAAAAAAAGCAGACAACAAAGTTCAATCTAGTGGGAAAAACAGGATGAAAGAACACTAAAAAGGTGCCACCCAGTCACCTAGATTATTCTTTGTTTTCAGTCCACACCACTGGAAATGCTTACTCTTCCTGTGAGTTTTTTCTTCACAATCTTTATTTTTTAAAAACTGCAATCTGCTGAACATAAGATGTCCACATTTCCACTGGCAGGAGAGCCACTTTTGTGCCGGTTTTGCTTCCTCAGTGTGGGTCCTCCTTCTCTGAAAGTGCAAAGAGAGCAAGCCAACACCCACAGGGCCCAGAGCCCCAGGACTATTCAGCTCCATTTCTAGAACAGGGTGAAGGATTTGCTGCATTTGTGCTTCAAAGGTCCAGCTCACTTTGGTTGTCCTTCTCAGTTGGCAAACTGCTCATAAAAAGCAAACTTGATCCTCTCTATGTGATGGCAGAGTTTGATGGCAGGGCCCAATTTTAAGTCCATGCACTCTTGAACGGTGGGAAGGGTAAGGAGCAACAGGGCCTGCCCATCGATTTCCTGTTAAGGTATAAATGCAAATTATCTGTGATATGCATATGAATGGCCTCTAGATCAAGATAGTCCCCATTCATTTTGCCCTTCAAAACCAAAGTCTCTGTGCTTCCTTCATTTTCCCTTTAAACAAATGTCACACCTTTCCCTTTTGATGCCTCTGCAGTCCTACACCCTAAGAAAACTTCAGAATTGATAATATATTTTACCAAGAACAAGAATCTATTCTTCAGAACCTCTGCTCAGCAAAATTTGGTAAACTAGGGCCAGGGATTTAGCTCAGCGGTTCTGCTGCCTTCCGTGCAAGTGCAAGGACCTGAGTTTGATCCCCCATACCAAACAAAAACAAAAAAAACACAAAAAACAAAATTCGGCAAGCCAGCGAACCCTGGCCATTAATCATGCCAAAATAACATCTTCTCAGAGGGTCTAAGTCTGAAACAAAACATTAACTATAAACTTCAATGTTCTCCTACTTGTAACATTTATAAAAACCAGTTACTCGGGAGGCTGAGGCAGGAGGATCACTGTGAGTATGAGACCAGCCTGGGCTACATAGTGAGTTTCAGGTCAGTCTCAACTATACAGTGAGACCCTGTCTCAAAAAACAAACAAACAAACAAACAAACAAACAAACAGTTAAAAGTCTTCAAAGATGTTCAGTTTTGACCCCCGCCCCCAAGCCAATTACCAAAACAAACTTCAATATTTAGGAACACTGATTTCTTTTTTCTTCTCAACCCTGGAGATCAAACCCAGGAACTTGAACCTGCAAGGCATGTATTGGATCAGTGAACTACATTCCCTGCCCACTACTGTTTGTACTTCATCAAAACTGCCTTAAAAAGGTCACCACTCTAAAGCCTGACATATCACAAATGCTAATATTTTAAAAAATAAGCGAATTATTTTTAAAAAGATGAGGGTAGTTAAGCAAGGCATGCTTGATTTTAAACTATCTAAATCTGGGGGGATATAATCAAATTCTTGGAAAAAATGGGAATGCAATCATAATCTGCTTCAACAATGAAATAATTCTGATAAATATTTTTATCATCTTTCCTCTCCTAAAAAGGGAACTAAAACAATGTTCTTTTGGATTAAGATATTTTTCCTGCATGTTGTAAATAAACTGTGTGCTCCACGCACAGTTCATTACTAAAAAGACATTATTTTAGATTACAGGTATCTGTTATTACCTGGTCTAGGAATATTCTTGCTAATGGAGCACAGTCGGTGGATCTGATGAACCGCACAACATCTGCCACACTCCACTTCAGGGGGTTACTATCCAGATGAAGTCTTTCAGCAACTTCAATCCTTATTTCCTTCATTCCCCACAACAAAACAAAACCAAATGATGTAAGAGGTATTTTACTCTTTCAGAAAAAGAGTCTATTTAAATTTATAATCTTCCATGACAGTATTTAAAGTAGCCACACGATTTCTCCCAGCAAAGATGGTAAAGGCTCACATGCATTAGAACAGCACTTAAGAAAACTATAATACAAATTTTATTTTATTTTTGAGACAGGGTCTCACGATATAGTCCAGCTTGGACTTGAACTTGCTGTGTAGCCCAGGCTGGACTCGAATTCATGGTGATCCTCCTGCTTCAGCCTCCAGAGTGCTAGGATTACAGGTGTATGCCACCACACTCAGTGGGACAGATTTTATTTTAAATTGACTTTTACAACACAAAATATTACTGAAGAATTCATCATAGCCGGGCATGGTGGCGCATGCCTGTAATCCCAGCACTAGGGAGGCTGAGGCAGGAGGATCACTGTGAGTTCAAGACCAGCCTGGGCTACATAGTGAGTTCCAGGGCAGTCTCAACTACATAGTGAGATCCTGTTTCAAAAAAAAAAAAAAAAAAGAATTCATCATAAAGTTTCAGCACAAATAATTTGAACAATTTAATGAAGAAAAACATATTTTTTTTTTCAAATAGGGTCTCATTATATAGTTTAAGCTGACCTTGAACTCTCTATGTAGCCCAGGCTGGCCTCAAACTTGTGGCAATCCTCCTGCCTCAACCTCCCATGTGCTGGGATTACAGGCATGTGCTACCATGCATGGCAAGAAAAATAACTTATAAATCCCCTAGTTGTTCCTTGTTTATTTCAGCTGAGTCTTTCGTAGTCTTTTGGTGCTAAAGAGAATGAGATGGAATTTCCAATGAGAATACCTAACCAAATTATCAGAAAAAACCCTTTTATTGCTCCTGCTCATGGTATACTTTTTTTTTTTCTCTCGATACTGGGGATCAAACTTGGGACCTTGCCCTTGCAACGCAGGCACTGGAACCACTGAGCTAAATCCCTGGCCCTCGTGGTACATTTTTAAAAAGAAACCCAGTTTTGAAACAATAATTTAGTTATAATCTTAATGTGTATATTTATGTAATGTATATATATTATCATAAACATAATATGTAACCAAAAGCAAAGGGATAATGTAGGTTTGCTTTGTTTTTGTTTTTTTTTTAAATACCGGCATGGAACTCAGGATCTTGCACTTGTGAGGCAGGTGCAATGCCACTGAGCTAAATCCCTGGCCCTAGGATAATGTAGTTTTATAAAACTATGTATATTATAAAAGTATTTAAATGGCAATTTCCCTAAAATAAATAAGCTAGCAATATCATAAGTGCCTTAAGAGAGACCCTAGAAATACTTCATAAGCTTATATAAAGAAATGGAATTCAGCATCATTAGATTCTAGAGGGAAATGACAGATAAGGGCGAGAGAGGAGGACAGATAGACACTATTCTTAAAATGGTACCTTTGGTGAAGGAGGTTTATTTTCATCATCAGAAAATGAAAAAGTACGAAGCTCTCTTTTCCTTCTTTGTCTGTCTGGGAGCAGCGAGGTGGACATCTCACTTTGGGTGGGAGAGGAGGAGCATGACTTTTTTTCTGACATTTCTGACTCTTCCTGTAACTCATCCTGCTGCTCTGATGTACTGCCTTCACTTAGGGAATCATCATCCCCTTCATCTACATCATCTTCATCTTCAACCCCACTTCCCTAGAGGAAAGAGACAAGTATCATTGAAATTCAGGACAAACCAGTTACTGGACCACAAAACCATCTTCTATTGGTCAGAGAAGTGAATTAGAGAGACCTGCAGGTATTCCTCCTGGGGCCTTATGGTAAAACAGGTTGCTTGGCTTCTAGAATGACAGCTGCATCACAAATCTCCTACCTGGGGTGAGCCCACTGGGGTATTGTCAACAGATGCAGAGGAGCGTTTCTTCTTATGAACAAAAACATTTTTCCGCCTCTTTCTTCTCTTACTGGCTTTTTTCAGGGCACAAGCTAAGTTACTATGCCCACCAGGTGGCCTCCCAATTCTTTTATTTTTCTTCTTTCCGTAATAGTGTGCTAAATGTGGATGACAAAGACAAATGAAGTAGCTTCATTATTGGTATGTACTTCAAAACCCGAAGAGATTCTATTAGCATAGCAAAAAATAGGAATACTGTGTTTGAGGTTTAAATGACACATAAGGCAGAATGAGCAGGTAAGTGTACAGTTTGATTAGTACTGATAAACACATAAACCTGAATAATCTTTCCCAGTGGATCTCTATCTCCCTCAATGGATCTCTACAAAGAAAGTTCTTAGGATCCCTTTCCAGAGCAACCACTATTATAATTCCTATCACCGTACATTAATTTTGCATCAACAGATTATACAATACGTACTTTTTTGTGCATGACTTCTTTTACACAGCATGTTTTTGAGTCATCTGTCCTGTGTATATGAGCAATTCATTCCTTCATGTTAGTGACTAGCATTCCATCATATGAAAGTACCAGTTTATCTATTTTCCTGGTGGGCACCAAGGCTGTTTCATTTTGAATATAGTTAATTTAATTACAATAAATTTTTTTTTTTTTTTGGTACCGGGTATTGAACTCAAGTCCTTGCACTTGTGAGGCAGGTGGTAAAACCACTGAGCTAAATCCCTGGCCCAACAATGAATATTCTTATACAAGACTTTTAATGGGTATATTTTCATTGCCTTGCATAAGTGCCTACCTAATAATGGAATTGCTGGATAATAGGGTAAGATGTGTGATTAACTTTTAAAGGAACTTCCAACTTTCCAAAATGGATGTATAATTTTACATTCCCATCAGCAATGTATGAGATCTAGTTGTTCCATACCTGTCCCAACGACTAGTCGTACTGGTGGTCTCTTTCATTTTAGCCAATCTGGTGTGTGTGGTAATTTTTCACTGTACTTTTTTTGTTCTTAAGTTTTAAAAAAATACACTTTTACTGTAAATCAGCACATAACAATTACATATATATTATGGGGTTCAATGTGACATTTCAATACATGTATACAACGTGTAATGATCAGATACAAGTACAAGATCTATATCAACTCAAACTGTCATCTCAAACACTTACCATTTCTTTTTTGTTGGGAATATTCCAAATCCTCTCTAGTATCTATTTTGAAATATACAATGAATAGTTATACTACTGTGATATAAAACATTAGAAGTTATCTCTCCTATCCAATTGCACTCCTGTACCCATTAACAATACTTTCTCCATTCTCCCTCCCCCACACCCTCCCAGGCTCTGATAATCACTATTCTATTCTCTGTGTCTGTGAGATCAACTTTGGCTTCCACAAGTGAGAACATTTAATATTCATCTTTCTGTGCTTGACTTACCTCACTTAACCTAACAACTTCCAGTTCCATCCATGTTTTTACAAATCTCATTGTCATTCCCTCATCATTAATGATGTTGAACATGTTTTCATGTGTTTATTGGACATTTGTATATGAAACGTTTGTGGAAGTCTTTTATTCATTGTTTAAAACTGTTTTGTTTCTCTCTTTATTTTTTGTGATGCTAGGGATAAAAAGTCTCTCCTTAGGCTAAGACGATGGCTAGGCCTAGGCAAACTCCATACCTACAACTGAGATACATCTCCAGTACTTTAAAAAAATTTTATTGAAACATAATTCACACAACATAAAACTTACCAGTTTAAAAAGTACAATAGTTTTTTATATTAACTATGCTTTGCAACCATTACCACTATCTAATTCTAAAACATTTTACTTCTTTTATTTTTTAATTTAGGAGAAACATAGCATACAATCAGCCACTTTAAAATGTACAATTTAGAGATATTTAGTATATTCAAAATGGTGTAAAGCCACTACCTCTGTCATATATATATATATATATATAT